TAGTTAAAACAAAAAGTATTTGAACTTTTGACGGTTGTTCAACATCTATGCACGGTTACTAAACTAGTAACCGTGATCTATGGAAACCAGAAAATTTTTAGTAGTCCGAATTTTTGCAAGGTCGAAAATAAAACGGAAAATGACCGGTCAAAAGCGGAAGCAGTCAAGAGGTTTGGGGGAAATGAGTACAGTACTTCTTTGTTTGATGAAGCGATGCTGATGCCACATTGTCACCATAATGAGGCCACAATGAAGCGAAGCAATAATCGCCTAACTTTTTATTGTCGCAACATTGATGCGACGATGAAGCCATAACAATGCCATAACGATGCGATGCTGAAGCGAAGCTGACGCTGAAGTGAAGCCAAAGCTTTCGCGAGAACTGTACTGTACTTTTAACATGTACTATAACTCTCCTAAATTTAAGTTAATTGGGAAAGAGTTCTCTTAGGCCCCCTCTTCCGAACCCTAACCAATTTTTCTTGATGAGACAACTTTTCCTTGGACGTTCCCCTACACTGAGTGTATAGGTGTCCACTCACTTTAAATATTTTTTTACCTTACACTCCATCCCCAATGTAATTGAATATGCCCCCTATAACTATATAAATATAAGTGACATGAAGAAGGATGTATACACAATGACAATAAAGGTATTAACCATAGAAATAAACTACGTACTTATAGGAAATTAAAAACTGAACTTGGACTTCAAAATTATCTGCTGACAGTAAATAACCCACAGATCATCAATGACCAAACTAAGATTAAATGCACATGTTTTACAAATTGAAATGGGCAGATACCATAAAATTAACATTACTGAAAGAAGCAGTCCTGTATGCGATACTAAAGATATTGAAGATAAAAAGTACTTTCTGTTAAAATGTCAGTTATACATGACGTGAAAGACAGATCCTTCTCAACACAATTAGACAGTTTTCAGAGGGCAACACTGATACAAGCTTTATTAACATACTAGGCACAAAGTAATTGATACTGTACATTCTTTGTCAATCCAAGGATGCACAATTTATGATGTTTGCGTGCACAGCACAACAAACTCATTTTTTGAGAGTACTCTCATGTTCAAAATAAACGTACCGATACGTTTATTTTTTTCCCCGAAAAATTCCACCCGGTACATTCTTATTTGGGACAATACGGTTATTTATTTTTCTAAATCGGGCTGATTAAAAAAAATCTTGATTTAAAAAACAAATCATGGAAAATGAAGCCAAAAGATCGCACTAAATAATAAATATCTTCTGTGTGTAGCTTTCACCATGAGGTCGCTGAACTGTCATTACCATATTTCAATGCTCTATGGTAATTTGAACACGTTGGCACCCTCCTGCGTTTTGATCGGTTAAAGCGAACCTAAATGTGGCCCTAATTTATAGTTGTGTATTTTCTAAACTGTATTCGAAATAATATTGCAGTGGTTTAATTTTGTTTTAATTATAACTGTAGCTTGGAGAGGCATTTGAAGTGCTTGCAATTAAACACAATGGAGGCCATTCATAGAGAGGAATAATTAACGAACGAACATATTTAACATCCGGGTACTTTTCAAAGCTATGACGTTTTAGTATCGGATCACGTTTGTATACGCCATTGTACATAGCCGTTCATGCTGCCAAGCATTGTAAACTATTAGTAAAAACTCAACTTTTATATGCACAATGTGCTTTTTTAGAACTTGGGTTAGAGTCTTATGCGTTTGAACCACAGTATTCTGAGAGTGAAAGCCCAATTGCCCAAAAGCCCATCCCTATATTTTTACTTGGTATTTATCGAGTTGAGAGCATTCAAGATTATAAGCCCAGAGTGTTTTTACTGGGCGTCGACGATATTCTTCAAAATATGCGTGTAAAAAGTGTGTTTCATTTCATAATAATCGTGATTGGCATGGTAGTTTGGTTCATGCTTTTAGTTTTATGAGAAAACTCGCATTAATTTCAGAGTGCATGGCGAACGTACACAACGTGGTTCGCATCCTTTCTATTTTGTC